GATTGGTTCTTCCAATACGCATCCTAGGGACCCGCTATGCATCACAGTGACCAGGAGACAGTGGTAACAGGAACTGTGACAGAAATTATTACCTGATCAACTAACAGGCTGGCTGGGGGCATTTTCTGCTCTATTGGGATGTGTCTGCCCCAGTCCGTCTGAGAAATCAATTAGTTCTTGAGGTAAGAACAAAAACCTGACTTGCTGCCAATGATTTGCTCTGAAATGGAAGCAAGTCATTGTGCAACTGAGGAAAAACTGAACAACAATGCCTCATCTCTTTCTATTCAAACTCAGAGACCATCTCTTTGTGCACCTTACTGTACTGTGCACTGACCCTAGTTAGTGTTGTATGTCCCATAGGAGAAAATAGCAGCAATGCTGTAACAAATCACAGGGACACAGCTCTGCAGAACCTGTTTACATTAAGCGATATAGATCTTGCTTCTGCTGTCCTCAATGGCATCCTTGTGACACTGGTTGCACTCATGACGCCACACTGCCCATCCACCTGGCATCCAGTAAGTCTCCCAGTGTCAGTGTTGTGCTTCACGGATGCAACTCTTCTTCAGAGCATGCAGGGGGACGACCAGGTCCCGTTAAGTTTACCATTCAGAATTTGACAGGGCAAACATAGAATACCCCATTTCCAGCCATGTCTTCCTTTGGCCGCTTGTGGTGGTAATCTCTGCATTCCTAGAGAGGGAGCTTTTTCAATGGTGGCAGACCCTGACTTCCAGAAGCAGCTAAGAGCCAGAAGTGCAAGTGAACGGTCCGTGTACAAAGAGAAAGGAGTAGTCCCACTCTTGCAGGAAATGCCTTTCCTCATCAGGCTCAGCTTAATACTGGCAGAAAGAACACAAAAGAACCCCATGAGTGGGAGGCAAGAGATGACAACTGGGCAGCCAGTTGTGTTCTGCCGTGAAAGTCATCTTTGAAGTGTTGCCTGACAGTACATGGCTGCCATACTGCAACAACAGTGGCTACTGCCCTGGTTCCAGAGGCTGAAGGGCATGGTAGAGCACACCTACCACCACCCTGCCATCCATGAGTGTTGAAGACAGGAAGTAGTGCCACAGTCAAAACACGGATAAACAGAGGCCCACAATGGTGGCTTCAACCAAAGGTGTGGTGGTAGACTCTTGGTAAGCAGAGCCCTGAGGTCATCTAGTCCTCAGTGTGAGTCACTTCAAATACATATGTCAGCACCATTCCAGAGTTTCATCCCAGAGCGTTCACACTGTGCTAGCCATCAGGAATGATCCATTTATGAGGCTGCCCACCATAAGTGGGGACCTGCCTAGCAATCTCTGAGAAGCTCTCATGGTCCTGTGTTTCAGAACCTTGGGATATCTGTCTGATCTCATGTTCAAATTCAAGGGTCAGAAGTCACCTCAGCAGGGAAAAGGGAGGAAGGAAGTTCACATAGGTCTGGATCAGAGCCAGAATTCTTCTTGGAGAATATGGACAGACTTGGAAGTACCAGACTCTGAGGAGGGCTTAGAAAGTTCAAGGAAGGTCCCCGAGTGCTGCGATTGGTTCCGTGGCAGCAGCTTATCTGGCCCAATGGGTGTGTCCCCTAAAGCTGGTGCCCTGGCTTCCCCTAGTGAGGCCACCCAAGCAACAAGGGCAAGGACCGGCCCTGGGGTGCGGGAGCCATATACCCACTTGTGTTGATCTGTACAATCTACAGACTGGGATAGTTGAAGGGCAAGTCCCTGAGATGTGGCAACTCCCAAGGAGGAAGTGAAGAGTCATGGAAAATGTGTGGTTGAGTGATGGGGACACAACAAGCCGTTGCTGGCAGGGCCCAGGAAGTACCAGCAGAAACCCATTTATGCAAAGGAAGAATGTCCAAGCTGAGTAAAATCTGAACCCCAGGCTTACAGCAGAGGCTCACACCGAACAGGAAGCCTCAGCAGCAGAAGCCCTGCTGGGCTTCAGGGGACCTGGGGTCCACAAATTGTTTTCTTCAGAGAAAATAGAGGAGGAGTGGCTGTGGGCCAAGCACTGCTCCAGGCAGAGAAGGAAACAACATTTGTGAGCAAGCAAACAAAAATCTGTTTGCATTTTAGTGGGGGAAGACAGAGAGCAGCCAAGGTAAACAGAAACATGGTACTGCAGTTCTGAAAGCAGCAAATGCTGTGGTGGGGGGATGGAACCCAAGTGCTATGTTGGTGTCGACGTGTCCCGACGAAGCCTCATGTGATCATAGAGCTTGCTTTTCAGAGGTGGCTGGATTTAAGACATGTGAGGCTGGGATTAAGGGTCTCACACAGGGATTGGCTCATGGGGGCTGCTAGGGTTGAGGACTGGTGCTAAGAGTGAGTGCTGCCCTTCCCAAGGGTAGACAAGCTGACTAGATAGAGCACAAGGGACAGAAGGAGGGCTGCTGTGGTCACTCGCTGCCTTCCGCTTTGCTGCCCTCTGCCCACCATGAACTGTTTCTCCTCTGTGATGCCCCTGTACCACGCCACCTTGCTGAAACTGAAACTGCCACAAACTGTGAGCTCAGTAAGCCTTTCTGCCTTTAATTTCTGGAGTCGAGTAGTTTGTCTCAGCAATGAGAAAAATAACTAAGACAGTAAAGAAAGTGAATAAAGTGCGCTGGGAATTTCAGCTAGGTTGTCCAGCAAGTCTTTACTGGGAGTGTGACTGGAGCAGTGACTTAAATGCCAAAGGGAATGCTGAGGTGTGTTAGAAAAATGTGAATGGATTTAGAATCTACTTAAGTTGGATTTTCATACAAGTATTTCAAACATTATTAGAATATTCATGTCTAGCTAGAGTGGCAACTTCAAGGCAACTTGGATACCACCACCAAACTAATTCTGCAGGCAAGGATGAGGGGAGATCAAAAACTTCAGTGAATGATTAAATTAAATGCCCAAAAATTTATTACCATAAAAGATACACTGCTATTAATTTCCCTCAAAATATCCCCCTTACTTTGAAAATATATATCTCATCATTCTTGCTACTTTTTTTTGTCCTGGCAACCAAACTCAGGACCTTGCACTTGACAGGCAGGCGCTGTGCCACACTGAGCTACCTCTCTGGCCCTCTTGCTACTTTCTGAAACAGATCTGAAAATCCTATTTTGTGAATGTCTTCACATGGCATAATTAAAAAATGCAGTGAATGCTGCTGCCACGCGCCATCCAATGGGAAGGTAAATGCATTAGAACACTACAGTGTGTATTGCACGGCCTGCTTAGGCAGACATAGAAACCGAGGTTGGATCCCTGGCATGCGTGCTGGCCCTGCCCCCAGGGCACACTGAAGTGGCAAGTAAGACTGGGTGTGGTGGCGCACGCCTATAATCCCAGCACTTGGGAGGCTGAAAACAGGAGGATCGCTACGAGTCCAATCTATGTAGTGAGATCCTGTAGACCCTGTACTAAATACATTAAAAAAAAAAAAAAAAAAAAAGAACATCACAGTGTGCCCTCATCAACCTTATTCAGGCTCTTTCCCAGAGTCGACATGACCAGGAAAGGCAAATGTTTTGAGTGGATTCAGGACATGAAGTTAGCCACAGCAGAACAACTGAAGACATTCAGGAAGGAGGACCTCCAGCGCTACTTCAGAAAATGGCAAGGATGATGGGATAAGTGCATCAGAAGGGAGGGAGGGGATTTTGATTCATGGCAATGTGTCTTTTACTCTAATAATATCCTTTATATTGAAATTATTAAGCCTTCACCATATTTTGATTCTATCTCATGTCTCTCATTGTGACGAGACAGACTCAAGGCTGAGTGTGGAGTTGTCCTGGTCCAAACCCCTCACGTAAGGCCCTTAACCCTGAATCTGAAGAACCCTACCATTAGCTGTACATTTGCCCTCAGGCACCTGAAGCACCTGGAGCCATGTCGTCCCACAGCTCTGTGACTCCATGGCTACCTAGTCTGTGAAAGGGACCTCAGCCTCTTAACAGCTGGCTGTGGAAACCGACTTCCTGCTAAATCCACCCTCAGGAGTTGCTCACTGCGTTTGCCCTCTGTGGGCAGTGCAGGGCACACTGTCAGCTCCACTTCCTCAAGTGGCCTGGAGCAGGCTAAGAGAACCAGGACTAGCAGTATGGTCGGGAAACTGAGCTCAGCAAAGAGATGTTGTGTGAAGCGCGCCAGCTGGCTTCCAGTGCTGGCATTTCCTTCAATACTTCCAGAGCCAGAAGGCATGCTGGGCAGGCACCACACCAAGCCTAGTATTTGGGGACATAAAAGAAACCCGAGAGAGCCAGGGACTCACAGGGTATAAGGAGGTAAACAGAGGTTGGTGAAAGATTTTAAATATGCATGGCATTGTTATTCTTTTTCATGTGCGGAAACTACATTTTTTTTCCAACTAGGGAGTGGACATCATGTTTGTTTTTGAAATATAACTTTGCAAGATTGAGGAGTGCTTGTTTTCTTTCTGTGACCTATGAGACTAGAAAAGAACACTCAAGCAAAATGCATAGGATATGTGAGCTTTACAAATTTTCTTAAATTTTTTTAACTTGAAAAAGAAATACAGAGTCATTCTAAGCAATCCAACCATTACAGAAAAGTACAGCAGAGAAAGCAAGTGCTTCCTGTACTCCAACCTCCTGGTGCCAAATCATGATTACTGTACAGTCTACTGATGTAGGATCTTGTATGCTTTTATTTCAATGAATAAACTAACATGTTAATGTAAGTTTCTCCATACCAGTAAATACAGAACTACCTAATTATTTTTAATGGCTATATAACATTCTACTATAGATTTTTATACATTATTTTTTTAATTTTTTTTTTTTATTTTGGGGGAAGGGTCTACAGGGTGTTCAAGGTCTCACTACTAGATAGAACTCCTAGTGATCTGCTTGCTTACAGTGTCCCAAGAGCTGGGATTATAGGCATGTGCCACCACACCTAGTCTCAATTGCCATCTCAGCATGCCCCAGGGGAGGGACCAGCACAGCAGGCCCGGGGGATGGAACCCCCAGCCCCTGTACCTGCTTGCAGGTGCTTTAATCCACTGAGCTATTTGACTAGCCCTAGATTTTTGTACATTCTTGAATCAGTCTTTATTTGGAGGATATTTGGGGTGCTTTTCAATTTTTTATGATTATAAACATCTTTTTACATGAACCTTTGTAAAAGTATGTAGATGTTGCTGAGAAGACATCTTTAGAAATTTTTCTAGGAATTGACATGCTTTTTTAAAACTTTCCATTTAATAGATATTGCCCAATTGCCATCAGAAAAGCTTTATCCACTTATGTCCCAACAGTGTGTGTGTTCCCCAATTGTCCTGGGAGCTGGCAGGCACTTCATACACAGTCTGTCCTCAGTAGAGTGACAGCAGAATCCCAGGACCCTGCATTCCATTCTGTGAATGTCTGCAGTTCACACATTTCTCTGGTGTCTGATAAGTTAGCACTAATAGCCGCACGGAGATTTGCCCAAAAAAGCCCACATTTCCGCCGCTCCTTGGGCCATTCCAGGTACGCTTTCTTCTCTAAGTCAGCTTTCAGCCTGTGAAAGCGGGCAGGGATGCAGTAGAGCGGGGTGGGTTCCAGGAGGAGGAGGAGAATGATGCGATCAGAATTTTCATGGCAGTTGCGCTCATAGTGGCACCAGTCACTCTGGACAAAGCTGGGAGACAAAACGAAGATGGACTTGTAGCTCTTCTCAGTGCAGCTACTGATATTCTCAGTAATGCTCTTGCCAGGCACGAAGTTTCTCCCACAAAGACAAATCAAGACAGAACCATCTTCTTTTTCCAGATTGGGGACCAATTCATTCTTCATCCAGACAGAGTCATGTGCACTGTGTGAAATGAATGCATGGAAGTGAGCATTTCTCGTAGGCTGTTCTTGCGCTGCCCTCCTAGCCCCATGCCGTGTCTGCGCCCACTGGCCCAGCATCCTGACATACCAGGGCACATCAAAGTGGAAGAAACAGACAGCCGCAGGCGTCCCCAGAATCAGCAAGAGGACAACAGTGACAATCAACAAAGCTGTGTTGCAAGACAACTCAGAAAGAGAAACATCGTTCAACAGAGTCCCCTGTAGACTCAGAGGGTATTCGCAGATGTATGAATCTGGCCATCCAACCACCATGCCCTTTGAATATTTTTCAAGCTGAATGAAATTTCTCAATTCACAAGTACACCAGAATGGATTTTTCCCTGCATTTAGAGTCTTAACCTCCCGGCAGCTCTGAAAAAACTCCAGAGATGGGCTGAGAATCAAGTTCATTTCAATGTTCAGAACGAAGAGGTTGCTGAAACGACTGCACCCAGGGAGATCAGTTAAAAAGTTAAACACAATATTTAGCTCCCGTAAAGACTTCAGGGAAGTAATCTTGTTGGGGACCCTTTGAATTTTATTATAGCTCAGGTCAAAAATTTGAATGCCTCTGGGCAAGCACCCAAAAACAGAATCAGCAAAATTATTAGATGACAAGTTCATGTTGACCAAAGTGGCTGGCCACAAGCAGCCTTCCTCATTTACGTGCTGTAGTAGATTTTGGCTTAGATCCAAGTACCTCAAGGCCGTGCGGTTAGCGAAGCGGCTCACTGCGGAGAAAGTCTCCAGCTTATTGCCGTGCAGAATCACAGTGTGCAAATGAGGCAGCTGGATGGGGTTTTTAAAGAGTTCATCTGTTAAGATATTATTGGCAAAATTTAAATACCGGAAACTTCTGGGAGAATTAGGAAAAAGCATATGCGGCATTTTTGCATCTATTATTGTCAAGTTTTCTATATCCATTTTCATAAAAAGCAAGTAGATTCTATCCTGTGGAATAGAAAACACTCTAAAATGGACATGCTCCAGGCTTACTGTTCTCATCACAGTGTTTGCATAGTCAAATGAATTGTGGTCAAGGTACACCCAACCTCCAAATGTCACGTCCTGGATCTGGAAGCATTCCACCGACGTATGCCACACAAACTGGAAGAGGAGCAGGAGGTCATCCCAGAGTAAATCAACTTTATCAAATAATAGGGTAGATGTCTTGGAATTCTCTAAAGTAAGATGCCGTTGAGGGTCATAATTTAAAAATTGGCTTTTGCCATCTATATTTGTCATTTGCAATATTCTTGAAGTCTTCAGTCCATCACGCAAAAGAACCCAGAAATGTACGTTCATTGGTAAAGTGATATGAAGCTTTGTTGTGTTTAGGAGGGGCAGGCTACCTTCCTCGTAGTGAGAAAGGCATCTCAGCCCAAAGAAGATGGTAGCGAGGTGTAAATGAGCGATTTTCTGGAAATCTGATTTTTGCATTTGTGCTCCACTCAAGCCTAGGGTTTCCAGTTGTATCATGTTACCAATCTCCTCACAAAGAGGCAGTTTCAAAGTCATTAAAGGAAACATCTAAATGTCTGAGAGTTGCCAGTGAGTGCCAAACAACCGTCTTCAGTTTATTGTGAGACAAATCTAAGTATCTTAACTCTCCATTGAACTCAAAGATCTTGATATCCAGCTGTTGGATTCTGTTATGGGATGCAATCAAAGCTTTCAGTTTGGAGACAGAATGAAAATCCGAACTTTGGAGTTGAAATAAGAGGTTGTAGGATAAATCCAGTGTGGTTGTGGCAGGGGCCAAGTCTGTGGGAACCTTTCTTAGAGACATGTTGGAGCAGTTGGTAGTCAGTTCTTTGTCTTCTGGAAGTTTTGGAGCCCAGCCTTCCATGGACATAACAATATTACAAAGTATATCAATGTTCCTGATAAGTCTCATTGTCTTTCCAAGTGTCTTACCACTTGTTTCCTCATTTGAATCATGAAGATGAGTCCACATCCCTAAAAATACAGCATATAATATTGATTTTAACATTGGTTCACTGTTTGGGTTTTTTGATGCCTATATCTGCCTATGTCTACAAAGAGGTCACAATGCAGTCTCAGCCTGTACATTGGATCTTGGACTTGAGTTCAGAGCCATGGCCGATAGAGCCACAAGTCAGTTGCTGTGTATACCATGGCCCATCACTGAAGCAAATCAGGACTCTCAGAGGGCAGAGTGGGTGTTAGAAACCCCACCCCCAACCCCTCACACCTCCCAACCTTGCTTAGGAACTACTTTGTTGGGTCAAAATCTGTACCCTCCTCCATATTCCCTTACTCACCTTAAGATTTTAAGAGGACTGAAAGTAACATTTTATCAGCAAACACTGCCGAGCCTTGAATTATTATTATGGAGTTGCTCCTCACCTTTGCTGTTTGTGAGTGTAGAGTCCCTGCATCTGCCTTTCATCAACACTTACCCATACACAAGGGAGGTGCAGATCAGGGAACAGAATGACTCCCGTCCTTATGCCTCTGCTTGTCTTTGGGCCGAAGCACAAAGAACCCTTGACCACTGCCAAATAATAATGATACACAGTGAGGAGGAACAGTTTCCATTTCTTGGAAGCTTTCAGAGTGCTTTCTATTACACTGTTAAATGCTTTATACATATACTCTTATGCAGGTCTTGGCAAATACTGTTCAATAGCTATCATTTTACCCTCTAGCACAAAATGGCACATAACCTAATCTCAACACTACATGTCAATGCCGGTCCTGGCCCCGGGGTGTGCTGAGACAGCGACTGAGACTGGGCGTGGTGGTGCGCATCTGTAATCCCAGAGCTTGGGAGGTTGAAAACAGGACCACCACTAAGAATCCGAGCTGTGTAGTGAGACTCTATGGACCTTGTACTAAATACATTAAAAAACAAAACAAAACAAAAAAAACCCTACGTGTCTAAGAAGTAAGTTCATGGTGTAGATTCCTGGAGGGGTGAAATTCATGGTTAGAGAGTAGGTTTATGGCTGGGGAGATAGCTTGGCAGTCTAAGTGCCTGCTTGGAAAGCACAAGGACCCAAGTTCCATCCCCAGTACTGCATGCTGTGCACGCTAAGGTGGCCGCTGAAACCAGGCATGGTGGTAAATGCTTATAATCCCAGCACTGGGGAGGCTGAGTTAGGAGGATCACTATGAGTCTGAGCTGTGTAGTGAGACCCTGTACCAAATAAATAAATAAATAAATAAATAAACATTACAAAAAAAAAGAAAGAAAAGTAGGTTTGGCGCTAGGGACCCACAGATCAGTGTTCAAATTCCATGTTTACTAGTGACTGGCTGTGTAACTTGGACCACTTATTTTTATTTAACCTCTGAAAGCTTTGGTTTCATCTTTTAATGGATGCTTATGCAGAAGCACAGGACAGAAGATGCATACAATTGTTTAGCATCATGCCCAGTTTATCACACACAAGCAGTTAATCAGGTCCAAAACAAGTATAAGGCAAGTGAGGCACAAAGTTTAAGGGGATAACAAGGCATTCAGTAATCAAGAAATGGTTTTAATGAAATACTTAAAAATTCAAATGTGAAAATCCATGTTGAACAAATCTAAAAAAAAATTTTGCGTCTTGAAAGGCTGAAGCAAGAAGATAGCAAATTTGAGTCCAGCTTGGGCAATGAGTGACTTAATTAATTCCTGTTTCAAAATAAAATAAATTTAAAGGGCTGGGGATGAGACTCTGTGCAAAGGCTCTGGGTTCAGTCCCGGTTCTGTCCCCACCAGATCATAGCCAGCATCAGCACTGAAGGATTTTTCTTTAGCCTCAGGCTCCAGTACGGCTTGGAAGATCTCCTTGTCCTCAACTCAGTTGTAACCACTATGTTGACAAAGGTGATTTTAGTGTCATCACCTGACAGAGCACTTCTCTTCTTCTTCTTCTTCTTCTTCTTCTTCTTCTTCTTCTTCTTCTTCTTCTTCTTCTTCTTCTTCTTCTTCTTCTTCTTCTTCTTCTTCTTCTTCCCTCT